TCCCATTTGGCAACTGCTCAGGGCGCTCTCTGGCCTCCCAGCTCCCTCAGCTGAGAACCAATCCTCTCCTCTGCATTAACCCTTCCCGCCCCAATTCCTATTACCAGTTTTCTACTTAAGACACCCAAAGCACTACAGCACATTCTAACCCTATCCCCCAACAAGCACCTCCCTAACTGCATCATCTCCTTCCTGGCTATCCTGTGGCCTCCTTTCCACTGAATCCCCTGGGCCTAGAGCAGTTGAAGCTCAATACACATCTTTTTTTTTTCTTTGGCAGTGGCACACGGCTTGTGGGATTTGAGTTCCCTGACCAGGGATCAAACCTGTGCCCCCTGCAGCGCAAGCGTGGAGCCCTAACCAATGCACTGCCAGGGAAGTCCCTCAATACACATCGGATAAACTTCAGCCCTCTCAGACATGAGGCCCTCTTGGCTAAACTATTACAAGGATAAAATAAGTACTATCTGCAAAGAAGCCCCAGCACAGGGTCTGGCATATGGTAGGCTCAATGCAGTCTTAAAAAGAAAGCTGATGCCAGACAGCTTTCTGCTCAGATAGCAGGGATAGCTGTCAGGGACAGACGCCTGGAACAGTGTCTCCTATGATAAGTACCCAAAAAAGTGTTTAAGAGGGAACAGTGATTCTCAGTGTAACTGGGAAGAAGAATCAATCAGCTGGAGTTTATTAAAACTTCAGACTTCTGGGGCCATCCCTAGAATTTCCAACTCTGAAAGTCTGGCACAGGGTCCAAGAAGCTGAATTTTCAAGAAATATCCCACAGGTGGTCTAAGGACCACATTCTGAGAAACCAACCGATCTATTTGTGAGTATTTAAGCCGCTACGATATGTCAGGTCAAGGTTAATCTTCTTTGTAGGGATAGAGAAAGAACAAGAAGAGTCTGTGCCCTCGTGGAGTTTATATTTTAGTGAGGGTAGAAAATATCAGGTACACAAGTAAAGGTAGACAGCCAGTGACAGTGTCGTACAGAAAATAAAGCAGGTGGGCGGAGGACATGGTATGCGCTTGGGTGGCAGGGAGGGGATCTCTCTGAGGTCACTGAGGAATGACAGGAAGGAGCCAGCCAGTAAACTACTGCGGCAAAAGTATCCAGATGGATCCTCATTTTCCCCCAAGCTCCCCTCGACCCAGGCCCTGGTCCAAGACTATCTCAAAGGAAACCAAGTCCAGAACAGCGATGCTCCCGCCTTTATAATCAAGGCTTTCGGAGCCAGGACAGAGATTGCAATGGGGATCTCGACAGCACCTTCTCTCTGGGCCATGGAACCCACAGGCTTCCTCTATCTAGCCAGGAGCAGAGGTCTGAACCCCTGCCTTTTGGGAAACCTGGCCCCTGCCCCACCTCCCTCACTCAAGTGTCCCTAAGGTCTCAGCCAAGCCAGATCCCAGGGCTGAGCCAGCAGGGGTGACTATGCCCGATCCTCACACAGCTCTCTTCGGGCCCCGGGAGCACTGCCCGTGTGGGCGGGGCCTCCTGAGCATCCTTCCTGATTTGAAGTCCAGGTCCCTGGAGATCACAGGGGTGGGACTGGTCCCCAGGATTACGGAGAACATGACATCACCAAAGAGGCTGGTCCCCTTCCCAGCAGGCTGGACAACACATTGGGAAGACATGTGCCTGGGACCTCCTAGGAGGGACAGGGGTGCCGCGTGGCACAGTGAGACTCCCAGGGCAGGTGGGTAGCCAGGGGCTGGAGGTTCCAGGATCACTTCTTCTTGGCACGATCTGCTGCGTCCAGGGCAGCCATGTTGCGGGCGGCTGTGATCAGGTGGATGACGCTGATGAGGGACTTGAGCAAGGCAATAGGGGCTGTGATCCAGAGGCCCATTCGGAAAAGACCTACAGAGCCAACTGTGGGAAGGGAGCAGGGGCGATACAGAGAAAACAGGATGCGGGTGAGGGAGGGGCCTTTGACTCCCCGGGCAGGCCCGACCCCCTCCCACCCTCCTGCCCAGCCCCACATCTCCTACCTAAAGGTCCCTCGGAGAAATTGAACAGGTAGAGGAGGCAGTAGAAGAGCTCATTTCCAGCACACAGGGTAAACAGAGCGGGCTGCACAGACAGCAAAAAGGCTGCTTAAGCAAGAGGGTAGGGTAGTGCCCCCGATCCCCCAACTAAGGGCCGGGGGGCCAGGAACTGTACTGGAGAAAGAGGGGTGCAGGGCGGTACAGGTAGGATGTGGGTGGGCATAGGGGGAACAGGGCAGATCAGGGAACCTGCCCAAGGCCCTTCACCCTCCCCTTCCGCACGGAGCTGTGGGCAGCACTCACCACAAGGTTACGAACCAACAGGAAGATATTTTTACCGGGCTGCCCCCTTGAAGCCCTGGGCCTTACCTGGAGGTGTTCCACCCTCGAGCCTCCAGTGTAAAGACTACACTCCTTCTCACAGCCTAAGGCCTTTTGAGAGCTGGTTCTGCACACCTCCCTGGCTTCTTCCTCCCTCCTTCTCCCCTCAAGCCACTCAGTTCCTTCTCCCTGGGCGCACCTGGGCCTCAGGCCCACTTGCTTTCTCCAGCAATTCACAGGGCTCAGCCCAGGAGCCCTTCCCACCAATCCCACCCTGGGCCCAGGGCTCAGCCCAGGACTTGCCCATAAGCTAAGTGAATAGGGAGGGGCAGCAAATGCTCACTCTGGAGGTGTAGTAGATGCGAAGCACTGGATTTCCAGACAGGTCAATCATCTTGTGACTTTCACTGCCTCGGACCACAGAACTTGGGGAGAAAGTAGGCGGAATCCATGAGCTTTCATTACTACGAATGCCCACCTAATCCACATTTCAACCCACACAAAGTAGGTACTGGGATTGCCTCTGTTGAACAGAGGAGGGACTGGGGCACAGCTGAGGACCACTGTCTTGCCCGAAGTCACACTACCTAGCTGGGTAGTTGGGGGAAGAATCAGGATTCAAAAGCCTCATGCCCCTTCCCAAGGGATGTTAACTCTTTGGAATCCTCAGAAGGGTTTTAGGGATTACTTAATCCAACCGTAAAACAGGACTGACGCTAATTCAGAGAAGGTTTGCCCAGGGTCCTTCAACAAAGCAGAGCTAAAAAGGAGACGTCTCAAGAAGCCTGAAGACACCTCCCATATGGTCTCACCCCTCCCCACTGTAGTGTCTTCTTCAACCGGTCAACAACCCCAGAATCACTGACCTGTGGAGGTGCAGCCAGTGGCTGGCAACATCCAAGCTCATGCTGAGCTGGAAAAGAAGGGTGGCGCGAGGGTACAGCAGGGCCAGGTTGACCAGCAGACACATTGTGGAGCACCGGTCTGTCAGCATGTCCAGCATGGCCCCAAATCGGGTTCCTGAAAAATGGCAACTATTAGGTGGATGGGGGCTGTAAGGGGGCAATGCATCTGTGACAGAAGCCATATTTAGTGTATCACTGTAATGCAGAGTCTAAGAGAGAAAAGGCCCACAATCCACTGCCTGGGGAGGAAAGCAGACTGCTATCGTTGGAGTATGAAGGTCAAAAGGCAAGGGTCACCGTATCATAAAACAAGGAAGCATGGCAGTGTAGAGAAAACAGTGTAGAAGGGAGTGAGAAAGCTAGCATGGGAAGTCTTAGAGGTGGGTCTGAAGAACAGATTAAAAAAATTAATCATCTCTCCAGAAACCATCTCCCTTCCCTCTCCATCCTCCCTCTAAACATGCTTTCTGGAATCCTTATGGCTTGTGCCTGGCATACAGCAGATGCCCCCAAAACACCTGTTGAATGGATTTTTATTCAGAGAGGCCTCCAGCACTTGCACTGCCATGCTGGGTCTTGGTATCCCACACCCCTCGCTATCAATGAGTTCTTCTCCACAGCGAGCTTAAATCCCTTCTGCTACAAAATCAGGCCATTCTGTTCTGCTTTCTACAGAGATGGGAATGACAGAGCCCTCTGATTCCCGAGTACCCGCCTACCCCGAGGTCCTAAGGAAGCAGGAAAAGGGGGCAGAGGGTTGTTGGGTCTCAAGGCTGGCTGAGAAAAGGTGTCTGTCACCTTGATTAAGGGCTCGAGCAGCGTGTCCATCGAAAGCGTCCAGAAGTCCGCTGAGCAGGTAGAAGGAGGAGGCCGTGAGAGGGCAGCAGGGCATGAAGTAGAAAGAAATGATGGCGAAGACAATCCGGGCATAACCTTGGGATTGAGACGGCAGGGGGAGACAGGGCAGGATCAGGGAGCCTGCCCAAGGTCCCTAGCCCTCCCGTTCGGCCCGGAGCCGCGGGTAGCACTCACCGATGAGGTTAGGCACAAACAGGAAGATATTTTCGCCTGGCATCGCGGAGGTTCCCTGGCCGCCCTGGGCCTTATCTGGAGGTGCCAGCTCTCTCCCAGCTCCGGCGGAAGGCTCACCCTCCAGCCCGGCTCATCGGCCGCGCCCACTGCGCGCAGGTCCCCGCTGCCCCTGCCAGGTCCCAGATGTTAAAGCTCTTTGCCTGCCGTAGCATGGGCCGACACAGCTGTGCGTGGGTCACAGAGGGCGCGCACACCCAGCCCTTCCCCTGAGCAGACGCTGGCCTCCGCCTGCCCCGCCGGCTCTCCTGCCTCCAGCTGCAGCCCCTGCTCCTCCAGCTGTGCTTAGCTTCCGGAACCTACTCTTCAGGGTTCGTCCTTGCAAAATTGGAGAAAGGAAGAAGAGGCTTAAGAAATGGCTGCGTCCCCTTTAAGACCTGCCCTCTTCCTTTTCCTTTTCTTCCCTCCTCCCCTTTCCATCGGTTCGTACCAAAGTAAAGAGGGAGGAGAGGGGGCAAAGAACCATCAACGCTGAGCAAAGGAAGGAACTTAAAAGGAGAGGTCAAAAGAGAAGGAGGCCTAGGTAAATGTCTCTACTTTCCTTTCTGCGGAGGATATGACTCCTGAAGACAAAGATAAGGAAAAAAGATCCCGCCCTCCCGATTCTTTGCACCCCCGAGAGGCCAGGTTATTTGGCACAGCCCACACCTTTTCTTCCCCGCCCCCTCTCTCTGGCCCCATTTGCTCTCACAGGCTCCAGGCAAAAAGATGATAGCCAGAGAGGTTGGAGGGCGGCCTCGGGTGGGGTTGCTTCTCGCGTGCCCCTAGTGGTGGGAGGGTTAGGTGCCAGGCTCCACCTTGATCTTCCCAAGTTTCTCAAGGCCACTGGCGCGGGGGTCACTGCCCCCAAGGAGGGACCTAAAGGGGGTGGAGGAGAGGCCGGAGGAGCGAATGCGACAAGCTGGGAAAATGCCCTCCCAGCTTTGGTTCTAGAATCCCTACTCTCCCTACGGTGCTGCTGAACCTCCGCAGACGCCAAGGTTTTTATAGCAACGGGTAGCGGCGCCGCTCCCGGTTCCCCTCTTTCCAACCTTCCTCCCCAGCTCCCAAGTCCCCCGTCCCCCGGCCCATAAAAGGGCTCCTTATAGACCTCCCCGTCTCCCCTCCTGCCGAGTAGCCCAAGATTTCGACCCATCTGCCAGGTCGGGGGCGGCAAGTGGTCTGCCTTGTCTTGGGAAAGGTCTTGGGTGAGAAGAAGGGAAGAGAGGCCCCGCTGGGCGAAGTGAGGGGGGCGGGAGGCGGGTGTTGTGGGAGTCCCACCTCCTCCCTCCCCCAGGAAGACTTAAGGCAACGATTTCTTTTCTTTTTTTTTTTCTTTTTTTCAGAGAGAGAACTGACACAGTTCTTCAAGGCCGCGGGGAATGGTGGTGTGTTGGGTTTGGGAGAAGTGGGCTCGTTTCTCAGCCTAACCTGAGCTTCCGCTGTCCCCAGGGGGATGGCATCCACTGCTACCAGGAATGTGGAGGAAAAGGGCAGCGGGCAGTCCCAAGCCACAGACTCTGCAGCCTGCTTGGGTGGAGGTCCGGTGAGCATTGGAGAGGAGTTCTTGGGGTGGGGGTGAAGTGAAGAGCTCCTAGGCTTAGGGCACTGAGACCGCCAGCCTGGAAACTCTAGCCTCAACCCTGAGCCCAGAGCCCCCAGCACTATGCCCCTGAGGTCCCCAAAGGCTGCCCTCCACTTCCAGGACCTTCCAGGCCAAATTGCAAGACCCAGCCGTCCAATACCAGACTCCTTAGACCCAGAGCCCCCAGCCTGGGAGCCTCCAGACCCAGGACTCCCATGTAGGAACTCCCAGGCTGAGCCCCTCTGACTTTCCCTTTTCCAGAAGGTTTCCCATTCTGAGGAATTCCTGACACAGATCAGCGCAGAACTCACTGACGAGGCCTTGTTTGTCGCTGCCTACCACATGAATCCTGTGCCCATCAAAAAAAACAGACACAAGACCAAGGGATTCAGATATCCAAACACGGTGAACCCCACGCCAGGACCCTTCTGTCCAGAGACCCTCCGATACCACTAGTTCCAGTCCCTGCTTCCAGTTATGCCAGCCTCCTCATTCTTCCTGGGGCGTGGCAGGCACGCTCCCGCCTTTGGACAGATTATGTGTGAGGGGCCCCTGGGAACTCCAGGTGGAAATGCTCTGTAGACAGTTGGGAATATGGCTTCAGAACTCAGTGGCAAGGTCTGGGCTGGTGATAGAGATCTGATCTAGGAGGAAGTTGGCAGTTGAAGGGTGTGCAGTTGCCCTGGTGGGGGGTGGGGTGGGGGGATGGAGGGTTGTGCAGAGTGAGAAAGACGAGGGGCGCTGAGGATGGAGCCTTGGAGAACCTCTCCAAGTCAGGGGTTGGCAGAGGAGGAGAGAGGGGTTCATGAAGATGGTAGAGAAGGAACTGACAGCAATGTTTATTTTATTTTTTTTAATGACTTTTAAAATTTTATTTATTTATTTTTGGCTGTGTTGGGTCTTCGTTGCTGCACACGGGCTTTCTCTACTTGCGGCGAGTGGGGGCTACTCTTCGTTGTGGTGTGCGGACTTCTCATTTCAGTGGCTTCTCTTGTTGCGGAGCACGGGCTCTAGGCGCACAGGCTTCAGTAGTTGTGGCACACGGACTCAGTAGTTGCGGCTCGCAGGCTCTAGAGCACCGGCTTAGTTGCTCCGTGGCATGTGGGATCTTCCCGGACCAGGCATCTAACCCGTGTCCCCTGCATTGGTAGGCGGTTTCTCAACCAGTGCACCACCAGGGAAGTCTCAGCAAATGTTTATTGAGTGTCTGTTATGAATAGGGAATGATGGGTAGATTTGTGGATGGATGGAAAGAGAATGGTGGGCGGATGGATAGATGGATAGGTGGGGAATGGTGGATGGATAAATAGATGGATGGGGGATAGGGGTTGGATGGATAGGTGAAGGATGGAAAGATAAAAAGACATGACCCTTGAATCTAAAGTCAAAAGACTCTTATTCTTTTCTAGGGAGCTCTGCCTAGCAACTTGACATCTGGAGGATGATCCCAACTCTGGTGCTGCTCTTGGCCTCTCGTGCCCTCTCCCCACTCTGTTCCTCTAGAACATGCACCAAAGCTCCTCTTTCACAACTCATTCAACAGTTTGGTTTTGGGGTGATTCCTGGTCATGAGCAACATCACCCCTGAAGCCTCCAAAGGGTTCTGGAACCATCACACACCTCTCCACCCTCAGCTAGCAAGGACACCACCAGAAATCAAAAACTTTAATAAAGTGACAGAGATCCTTCCCTCCTCTCAGGCTGGGCAGTGCTCTCTGTGGGGTGATGTGGGAAGAGTGCCCCTCCCCCTTTTTGCCAGATATGTGGGCATATTATTTCATTTATTTATTTCCTATTCCTTTTTTTTAAATCATCTTTATTGGAGTATAATTGTTTTACAATATTCCTATTCCTTTTTTTTTTTAACATCTATTGGAGTATAATTGCTTTACAATGGGGTGTTAAGTTTCTTGGGCATATTATTGGAATGGCTTTTTTTTCTTTTTGAGTGATTTTTCTTTTTTAATTTTTTTTTTTTTCACAGCACCACGTGGCATGTGGGATCTTACTTCCCAGACCAGGGATCAAACCGACACCCTCTGCAGTGGAAATGCAGAGTCTTAACCACTGGACCACCAGGGAATTCCCCTGGAATGGCTTTTTTTTTTTTTAATTAATTAATTTATTTATTTACTTATCTACTTATGGCTGCGTTGGGGCTACTCTTCGTTGTGGTATGCAGGCTTCGCATTGCAGTGGCTTCTCTTGTTGTGGAGCACGGGCTCTAGGCGCACGGGCTCAGTAGTTGTGGCGCGCGGGCTCTAGAGCACAGGCTCAGTAGTTGTAGTGCACGGGCTTATTGCTCCACAGCATATGGGATCTTCCTGGACCAGGGCTCGAACCCGTGTCCCCTGCATTGGCAGGTGGATTCTTAACCACTGTGCCACCAGGGAAGCCCCTGGAATGGCTTTAATTCAGGCAGATATCAACCTATTCTCCATCAACCTGTTGGCAGAGATGAGTTCATGGGTCCAGATCCAGCCTCCCAGCCAAACTCCAGCACCTTAAGGTGCCTGTGGCATCTGAGAGGGTCCACCTTTGCTTCTGAGGAGCCCCTCCGGCCACCAGTGTCAGTGTTGAGGTCTCCCCTCCACGTTTTGGAGCCGCATGGCTATGGAACATATCATGCCTGTTACTAACCAGAAGGCAGTGCAGTAGGCTTTGTGACGTTTGCATTTAAATCCCAGTCTGGCCACTTATTGGAGCCTCGTAAGGAAGTCAGTTCACATCTCCCAGCCTCTGTTTCCTTATCTGAAAAATGGGAATAATTGTCCCTGTCTCACAAGGGCCTTGTGAGAGTTAAAAACATAATGCATACATGCTCATCACAATGCCTGGCACAGAATAAATGCCAAAAAAACTTAGGCTGTTATCAAGGTCGGTTTGCCTCGTGTTCTAAAATCCAATCCTCTTTTGAGTGTCCTAAAAATGTTTCATTATATTTAATTATAAAATTTTAATTAAGGAAAATTCAGTTGATTTGGAGAAAGACTTTAAGACAAACAGGCTGAGGCTTCCCTGGTGACACAGTGGTTAAGAATCCGCCTGCCAATGCAGGGGACACGGGTTCGAGCCCTGGTCTGGGAAGATCCCACATGCCGCGGAGCAACTAAGCCCGTGCGCTACAACTACTGAGCCTGCACTCTAGAGCCCTTGAGCCACAACTACTGAGTCCGCGTGCCACAATTACTGAAGCCCGCGCTCCTAGAGCCCATGCTCTGCAACAAGAGAAGCCACTGCAATGAGAGGCCCAAGCACCTCAACGAAGAGTAGCCCCCGCTCGCCACAACTAGAGAGAGCCTGCGCGCAGCAACGAGGACCCAATGCAGGAAAAAAAAAAAAAAAAAAAGACAAACAGGCTGTAAATTCTCTATAACGTTCAAAAGTAAAGTAGAAAAGGACACCCATGGGAAACCAAACAAGCTCATTGTTCATGAAAAGCTGCAAATATAATACTTGGTAGACACATAACAGCAGATATGCTTAAAATGCCAAAAAGGGGGCTTCCCTGGTGGCGCAGTGGTTGAGAGTCCGCCTGCTGATGCAGGGGACACGGGTTCGTGCCCTGGTCCGGGAAGATCCCACATGCCGCGGAGCAGCTGGGCCCGTGAGCCATGGCCGCTGAGCCTGAGCTCTAGAGCCCGCGAGCCACAACTACGGAAGCCCGCGCGCCTAGAGCCCGTGCTCCACAACAAGAGAAGCCACCGCAATGAGAAGCCTGCACACCAAACAAAGAGTAGCCGCTGCTCGCCACAACTAGAGAAAAGCACACGCATAGCAAAGAAGACCCAACGCAGCCAAAAATAAATAAATGCCAAAAAGATTGGGGGGAAAAATGGTACACTTGGATGGGTACAAGATTTCTCAAAAGGGGGTTGACTTTTAGGTCAGCTGGTCATGAAACAAATTGAGCGCTGTTTGTCACCTGCCAAACAGTGAAGGAGGAGAGGCAGCTACTGTCATTTATCACCCAGCTAGAAGAGCCTGGAAACGCCAAGCCCTGTGGAGAGACTGCTGAGGCCAGGAGTGGGCCCAGCTGGTCCTCCAGAGGCTGAGCCCAAAGTCAGGCTTTTTGACCCCAGGCCAGCCCCTTCAACACTGCCCTGTGTGCAATCTTAAATTTCCATCTTTTTCCCCAAGTGTTCCCCTATCCCCAGCCCTCTTTCCAGAGAGGCCACCATCACCATCTCCAGTGCTCTGTGACCCACCTTCCCACACCCCACCAGCCCAGTTACAAATGGAGATTTTCTGTTTATTGCTCAAAAACAAAAATCCAGAAGCAAAGGTGGGGAGACTGTGGGTAGGGGACATGGCAGGAAGGGGGTAGGGGCCTTGTCCCAGCTCTCCCCTTCATCCCTCTTCTTCTGACCCTCCAAGGGTCAGAGGTTAGGCCCGGGGACAGAGCATCTGGGAAGGGCAGAGCCTTCATGACCAAGGGAACAGCAGAGCTCTTGGGTAGTCCTTGTGGGATGCCCTGGGCTGGAGGGGCCCCAGGAGTTGCATCAGGGGCTGAGTTCCCCTCCTAGGGTCCAAAAGGGGGTAGAGTGAGTGGGGGGCAGGCCCCTTGTTTGGCAACTGAGAAGAGGAGGCTTTGGGCACAGGATGCTGGTTTATTTACTGTAGGGTCCCCAGGGCCATCAAAGCCCCCTCGTGGGGCCAGGAGATTATTTACACAGCAGGGAGGAAGGGAGCCAGAGGCCAGGTCCTGTACTCCTTCCTGCCCAGAATGAGGAGAGGAGGGGCGTCCTGGGTCCTGCAGCCTTAGTCTTGGTGTTCAGATGGAAACTTCATACTCTCGTGTATCCTGGAAGCAGAGAGATGGCATCAGTCACTAGAATGGGATGGAGGTGGAGGAGGCATCCACAAGGAAGGGGAAAGACTCTGTGTTTTTAAAATAACAAAGATCACTGGGAGTTTGGGGACCATGGGGTGGGAATGGGGCTGAATCTGGCCAATGGGTGTATTTGGTTCATCCTACAGTATCTTAAAGTCACATAAAAATCTAAATTTCTGGATTGTCTTGAACAGTTGGAAGGTCTGGCAGTTGGGCCTAGGTTTCCTCCATGGACTGGATGGGGTACAAGCTTTCCAGTTGGTCACAGTCCTTACCACTCCCGATTGGCCCACCTGACTTGGCTTTGTTCATTGACGTGGCCTTTGTAGGCAGCTGAGTTTGCAATTCCCAAGACAGATGTTACAAAGACCTTGAGAGAAGGTTATGGAGTCCCAGGGGAGCTGAGGGATGTGGCACTCCAGGGGTAGGGGAAGGGCTCACCCCAGCTTCATACAGTGGATTGCTGAAGTCTGACTCCACCGTGATGGGGCTGTAGGAATGGGAGCCTGAGAAGCCGAAGAGGGATTTTCCCTGTAGCCTGGGAAAGGAAGGAGATAGAGGGGCTTATCGAGAAGTGAGCCCCCAACCCCCCCTCACCCGGGCTTCTGTGCCAGGCAGGCAGGACGTCTGCCCTGGCCAGCAGCTCCCTGAGCTATGTACTTACTTGGTGTAGTATATGTAAACGCCACTGCCGAGGACGATGACCAAGCCTAGGGGCAGCAGAATGGCCAAGGCGAGGTTCCCACCCTCTAGCTGCCGTGACGGGTCGGTGGTCTGGCTCACTGGAAGGAGGAGGAGAGGCCAGTGATCTGGGGCTGGGCCCAGCCCTGGACTCTCCCAGCCTCCTGCCCTGGGCCCTGAACCCTGGGCCTCACCCCACCGGGGGCCTGGCCTCCTGCCCCCGGCCTCTGCCTTGCCCTCCCAACTTGGCCAGGCCTGGGTCTCCACCTGTGCCCTCACTGACCTTCCAGTTTTCGGTTGTCCAGGAGCTCCTCATAGGCCACTGCAGGGAGAGGAGGAGGAGGGGACGGGGTCTGAGCCAGGGAGGGAAGGAGGCTGGGTAGAGGGCCGGGAGCCCAGTGGGGCCGGGCTGGACAGCCTGGATTCTCTGCCCTCTGCTCAACCTAAACTTGATCCTTCCCTTGGGGACAGGGGAGGAACAGTCAGAGCAGGGCCTCGGTCCTCCTCCTCCAGACCCCTGGGCAGTCTAAACCAACCAGGTCTGTAGGATTTGTCAAAAATACGGAAACTGAGACCTATTCGGAGGGCAAGGGACTGCCAAACCAAAGCCCCCTCTACTACTTCCCTTAGGATAATTCCATGACCTTGAACTTCTCCAGGGCTTTTGGCTATACCTCTGATGATGAGAGCCCATAGAAAGTGGATGGGGAGCTCGGCAGGGTCTCGAATTTGCTACCTGACTTTCCCAGCCCTGTCACATCCTGGACACTGCTGTGCCCCCTCCTGCCCTGCCTGCCCAGGCACCTTTGCAGAGTGGGGGCTGGCTGGTCCACTGTGAGGGGTGGCCGGGCACACAGGTGATGGTGACCTCGCCAATGAGCTCAAAGCCCTCATAGCAGAAGAAGCGCAGAGACTCGCCCGCCTGGTAGTGATGCTTGTACAACGTCTGATAGCCGTTCTCCGGCACCCCGGGGTTCAGGCACGGCTCGTACTTCACTGCAGGGAAGAGGTCAGTCATGGGCCAGCTGCACCATCGAGCAGGCCACCCAGCCACCCATCCTAGGGTGTCCCCAGACTCACAGGCGCACTTGGGGACCCGGTCGCTCCACTTGGGCGTGCCCGTGTCCCGGCTGTAGCAGGTGAGCACGGCCGCCCCCTCCAGGCTATACCCCGGCAGACAGCGGTACTGGACGTGGGAGCCAACAGGAAAGCCAGCATCTGAGGTGGTGCGGTGCCCGTTGGTGATCTCACCAGGATCGGCACAAGTCATGACTGTTGGCAGGAGGGCAAAGTCAGGGGGAGCCAGGCCCTTAAAAGATCTGCCAGAAGCTTAGAGCTGGGAGACGCCTGAGTCGTGGGCCATCTCCTCTGGGCAACACTCCGCACACACCTCCCACTCCTTCCTCAGAATGAACAGAGCAGGAGTTGGAAAACTTAAAATTCAATGCATTTTACATAGCAGGTTTCTTCCAGAAAACAGAACGTTTGGGGCAACCTGGGCCCCCATCCTAGGGTGAAATTTGAAATATTGAACCACTCAACCAGAGCAAACCAGCTAAATCCCAACCGTGTCAGCCCTGCATGGCAAATCATCATCAGCAGAGCAGCTGCCCTCTTCAGAGGGGCCCAGACCTCCTGCTCCCCTCATTCCCGTCATCCCCAGCCCCTTCTGCTCACTTGTATTGCCTGCCTGGCCTCTGCGGGCATTTGTTTACAACCTTGCTGTGGAAGAATCCCAATCAAAGCCATTTCTTATATATAGACCTGAGCAAGGCACCTCGCTAAAATGTTTTACAAACATGATATCATATACCCTGATGATCTCAGAGAGGTCAGCGTCACTATCACCTCCCTTGGGGCTCAGGGCTCAGGGCAGTCAAATGACTGGTCTATGGTCACTCAGCCAGGGAGTGGCAAAGCTGGAACTGTTCAGGGTCACAGCCAGGGAGCACTGGGCTGAGATTCAGAGACTTAGGGCTCAGCTCAGCTGAAGGCTCCATGTGCTGCCTTGGGCAGGGTCCCTACTGAGTCTTGGGCAGCTGGGCCACGCCCTATCCCCTCTGGGCCCCGCTTCCATCCCTTCTTGTCCCCGCCCCGTGCGGTCTGGGTTCCAGATTGGACATCCTGTGACTCCTTCCAGGGATGGGGAGCTGTGTCAACTAGAAAGTTTTCCTTGTGTCCAGTCCAAATCTGGCTTCCTGAAACTTATCCTCATTGGTCCCACCGTTGCTCCTAGGGGCCAGGTGAAAGACCTACAATCCTATACCCTGGTGACAGGCTTCCAGAAATTTGGAGGAAGTGACAAGATGCCACCCCTTTCTGCTCTTCTAAAAGATAAATTCTCCCAGCTCCTTTGAATGTCACCTCCTCTGTGAAATCTCCTGCCCTATCCCTGGGACAATTAACCCACCCCTCTTCCTAAAGCCCTTCTTCATACTTATAGCAACTACTACTTACTCACTGTTTACCTGCACCAGGCACTAACGTGAAAAGCTTTTCATTTGCTTTTCACAATCCTCTATTCCTACTTCACTGAGGAAGAAGCCAAAGCCTCAGAGATGTTAAGTACCTTGCCTGAAGTCACCCAGCGGTTACCACTCTAATATCCTGAGTTAAGTATCTGTCCCTGTCCCAGACTGTGAGCTCTGTCAGGGTAGGGAGAGTCCCCAACACCTCCGCATAACTCCAGCCCCAACACATCATGGGACTTTAATAACGGAATTAAAATAAACCGACGGGCTTCCCTGGTGATGCAGTGGTTAAGAATCCGCCTGCCAATGCAGGGGACACGGGTTCGAGCCCTGGTCCGGGAAGATCCCACATGCCGCAGAGCAACTAAGCCCGTGCGCCACAACTACTGAGCCTGTGCTCTAGAGCCCACGAGCCACAACTATGGAAGCCCACACGCCTAGAGCCCATGCTCCGCATCAAGAGAAGCCACCGCAATGAGAAGACTGCGCACCGCAGGATAACGAAGAGTATCCCTCGCTCGCCGCAACTAGAGAAAGTTCTCGTGCAGCAACAAAGACCCAACTCAGCAAAAAATAAATAAATAAATGAATAAATAAATAAATTTATTAAAAAAATAAAAGTAAATAAAATAAAATAAACCGAACTCTCTGACAAGCCTAGGCCCCTGCAAAGTGACTCCTCATAATGTCAAGGGTTGGGGACTGAGAGACTGGAGCAAGGCCTAGAACAAGAAAAGAGATGACGGGGCAGGCGGGGGGCAGGGGGGCAGGGGGGCGGGACTCAGACTGGGCAGAGGCAGGGGAGGAACCCAGAAGAACCAGGTTCAGGACCCAGAACAGTGCAAGAGAGAGGGATGCAGCCCTGGGAAGATGAGAGTGGGGACCAGAGGGTACGGTTTCGGAACACCGAGGAACAGAGGAGTGGAACCCACTGGACATATGGTTGGGGCCTGAGGAAGATCTAGGCAGGACCTCGAGCGAAGGGATGGGTCCAGACAGAACAGGGGCGGGAACAAGAAGATACGGAGGCGGGGCGCATAGGGGGTGGGCGGAGCCCAAGCAGAGCCGTGAAACCCAGGTGGGCAGGGGCGGAGCCACAAGAGGATTAGGGCGGGGCCCGGGCTCACTCTTTCGGCAGGCGGGCGGCGCTGCGCTCCAGGACAGGTCCCACTGGCAGGTGAGAATGTCCGACCCAAGCAGCTCATAGCCAGGCTCGCACTGATAAGTAAGCACAGTGCCCCGGATCAGGTCCCCGTGGGAAGCCGTCCTCCAGCCCCATTCCGGGGGCGGCAGCTCGGGGCACGTGTCGTTCCTCGGGACCTCTGCAGGGGAGAGACGGCGAGTTTGGAGGCTGTCCTGCGACCCAGGGCGCCCTACCAGCCTCGGGGGCCTCTCTGACCTGCGGGACCCCTTCCCATCTCGGGACCCTAGGCCTCGGTACCTTTGAAGTGCAACACGAAACCCTGGCCCAGGCCCGGGTTTGGAGGTCCGGGCGGTGCCTGGAACTGCAGCGTGAGGTCGGGCCCAGAGGAGAGGAGGCGGCGGCGCGGTTGAGGCCCTCGCAGCTGGGCCAGGACTCGGGCACTGGGACCGTCCCCATCGAACAGGGTCAGCATATCCCCTTCGCGCACATTCAAGCTGGAGAGAGTGGGACCAGATATGGGGGCTGGGTTACGATCGGCCCCTCCCATCTGGTTCTGCCCAATCACTAACTCAGCTCATTAGCAACCTTACCTACTCTCCAGTCCCGCCCTACATTCTCCTATCCCAGGCCTCAGTTTGGATCAGTTATGGGCTTCTCCTCCACGCTAGTCGCTCCAGGTTCCATTTGGTCTGTGGCTCCTCCCGGCTCCTGCTTCCCAATCCCCAGCCCTGATCATTGTTGACGCCTCCCACTTCCCAGTCCCTCCTCCATCACCAGGTGACGCACAGCCAGGCTCAACTCCAGCTCTGACCAAACACAGACCATGCTCATTACCACCCAGCCCAACTCTAGGCCCCAACCGAGTACATGCTTTTTGAGCCACGCCCACTTTTGGTTCTGTCCAGGCACATGACCACCTCACACCAAAGTAGCTCACTGGATCTCCCCCACAGCCACGCCCACCTTGTGTGCTGCTGCTGATGCAACAGCTCGGGCCTGGGTCCCTGGAAATCACTCCGGCGGGGCCTCAGAAACAGCCAATGAGTGAGACTTCAGGCCATAGCCCCTTTTTCACAATAGTCCCCGAGGAAGGCTGCATTACCCCATTTACTTGTCCAAGGTTGCCTGACCAATAAGTGATTTGTACCTGGGTCTACCTGATGTCCCACACCCCTATCCTGAATCCTTAGCCACTTCTTTCATCCGAACGTATATTCACTGAATCTCGTGCAGACACTCGAGCCGGCCAGGCTCATAATGCAGGCCAGTGCATTGTCATACCACACATGGCTGAGCCCACACCCATTGCACCCTCTGCAGTACCCAGACGTACATCTCAACTTGAAGCAAGATGCGCTTCTCTTCCTGGACATGCAGACCCCACACGCAGTCTTGGCCGGGGCTATAGCTCTGGGGCCAATCTGGAGAGAGGACCACACCAGCTGGCTCTGACAGCTCCCCTCCACACATGGCTAGGATAGAAAGGGTGTCAGATTCAGGACCCAGGTGGGCATGCAGTCTCTATTTCGCTACGATCCTCACCACTCCCAACTGTGTGCACCAGACTGCCTCCCCGGTTTCCTATTATCTATTACCCACCTGATTCTTGCCACGTCTAGTCCTGTTGGGTCCAATCCCCCGCCCCACTCTTAACTAACCCCGCCCAGTCTCCAGCCTATGCATTACCACCCAATCCATGACTTAGCCCAATCTAGCTCTTGAAGATATTTGGGTTATGACCCCTGAACTCTGTAACAAGCCCATCAACTACTCAGCTAAGAAAACTAAGCCTCTGAAAGGGACAGAGATTGATCCTGAGTTTACTAGGTTCTCCTTCCTGAACGGCCTTCCTAGGATCCCCAGCTCAGGGGGTAGTCTGTGAACTGAAGGATGTTCTGGGGAGGCGGGGAAGGTGGCAGGCTCACCCTTGCAGGCTGGCTCTGTGTCATTCCAGTGGGGTTCTGTGGGATCCACACATTCGATGGCATTGGGGGGGCCAGGGGGCTCCAGGGCATATCCTGGGAGGCACGAGAAGGTGGCCAGTGCCCCTGGGCGGTATTCAGGGTCCGTGGTGGTGACATTGCCATGTGCCAGGAACGGGGCAAAGCAGCGATCTTCCTCAAAGGCTAGAGAGGAGTCAGTCACAGGAATTAAGCATTAGGACAGGCCTCCAGGGATCTCAGACTGGGGAACCAGGCTGAATTCCAGTGTGGTTTGGCCCCCCAGTGGGCTATTTAAAATGGAAAGCCTTTGGGCTTAGCTTTCACTTTCCAGTTTCCCCCAAACCCTAACATTCCTCATTCACATATTTATGTTAGCTCCCCGGCCTCTGGACAGAAACCCCAAGGTCAGTCAAGTCCCAGCCACTATTCTACAGATGAGGACACTAGGTCCACAGACAAAAAGCCATGTGCTCCATGTCACACAGTAGGGCAGTGGCAGAACCAGGCCTCAAGGCCAGATTCCTTGATTCCCAGCCAGAGACACTTGGCTCTGGAAGCTGCAATGGAGTGGGGGAAAACGGTGCCTTTGGAGACCTGGCTCATGTAGGTGTGTTCGCTCCTCAAAAATAACCGTTGGTTTCTGATCAACCCTGATTATCCATACTGTGGCTAGAATCCAAAAGTGAGGCAAACACAAAAGCTACTCAGTTTTAACTTTGGTCTAAGTCAGCAAAAAAATTAACATTTGTAGAGTGTTTTAGTTTTTGCCCATCTGATCATATCTTAGACTCAGGTAAGGCTCAGGTGCCTGTGATACAGAAAAAGTCTGAAGCCCATGGAGCAGCAGTGGCCCACAACCATGGAGACAGGCCTCAAACCTAGAAATTCTCTTTGCACTCTCAGAATCTAAAATGCAATTTATTTTTCAGATCCACTGTTCTGTTTCACCATTACTTAACCTGATAAGGTGTCATGTCCAAATCTTATGCATCCATCAGGGCCAAGTGCCAATTCCCTTTCTCCTTTGATTCATACCAGAAACTAGCCCCTCCCATCTCTGAGCATTTTACTTTCTTTGTCTCTTTCCTGCTACTGTTTACACAAATCCTCTGCTCCAGCCACAGTGAAACTCTCTGTTTCCCAAACATACAGGCTTTTCTCTACCTCTTCACTGTTGCTCACACTGTTCCTTTCCCCTGAGATGCTCATTCCCAATCTTCCTCTTTTAAAATTCTCTCTATCCTGTAAGTCCCAGTTCAAATGCCTCCTCCCATGATCACTGACTTCCTTCCTTCCTACCTATCCAGCATCCAGTCCCCTTTGTGTGTTAACAGCACTCCTATTTTCATTTTGGGTCACACGTCCTCCCCACTTCCAGTCCATGAGATTCAGTTGGAGCCAACCAGGGATGGCCATGTGATGTGGATCTGCCAATCATAACACCACCTGCCCCTAGCTACAGTGATTGGCTCAGGCATAGATAGATGACCTAAGCCAGGGCAATGAAAGCCTTTCCTGGCATTTTTGTTAAAGCTCTTAGGAAAGTGGTATGCTTTCTCTCTGATGGGGTTGCTAAAGTTGTTGGTATGTAAATCTGTAACTGCTAGGTACACAACAGACTGAGAGTCTGCCTGAGAATGAAGCCAACCGAGAGGAAAGAATGGAGAGATTTAAGTAACTGGTCTCTTGGCTGCGTACCTGGATCCAGCCACACTTGAAGCTTAAGTAGAAAAGACCACCTCAGGGAATTAGAATGTGTCCTTGTCGATTTGGGATGGGGAGACAAGTCAGTTTTCAGGAATCCAAACGTGGAGATAAGCAGAGATGGATTATGTGCTTGTGACCATGCCTGGGCGTAGGAAGAGGGGAAGGTGCGGCAGGTGGGGCCTCAGGGGAAGGGCAGTTACCTTCAAATCGGAGGCTTAGCAGCAGGGGATTGGCAGGTGTCTCTGAAAGCAGCTCCACATAGAGGGACTGGGCATCACTGATGAGACCCCGCTCTGGGACATCATCCATGTCCGAGTCATAGATCACCGGGGATAGGGGACTGCCCCCTGAGCGCACCATCAGCCTGGGATGGACAGAGGTGGCCAGGAGCTCAGCTTCCCCTCAGAAGCTGCCTCACCTCTTGCCTGCTCTCCTAACTTAATTTCATAGCTATTATTTTCAAACATTAACTATATGCCATGTACTCTTCTAAGCTTTTACACATTTTATCTCACTTAATTCTCACAAGAACCCTTGAGTTAGATACTATTATTGTCCCTCATTTTATAGATGAGAAAATTGAGGCACAGAAAGAGTAAGTAACCTGTCCAGCTACACATAGCAACTAATGTCAGAGCTGGGACACTAGTTTGCTAGATAAAGAGTGAGAATAATGAAGATGACGTTGGCAAACACATCTATAGTGCTTACTGTGTGCTAGGCACCATTCCAAGCACTTTACATATCTTAATGCATTTGTCCTCACAGAAACCTTAAGAGGGAGGTACTATTATCTCCATTCTACAGATGAGAAAACTGAAGCACAGAGAGGTTAAGTGATTTGTCTCAGTTTGCACAGCTATACTGCCTAAGAAAGGGGAAGGACTAACCCGCATTTGACATAGATCCCAACTGGGATTCCCCCCGCGTCTGTCTGACTGTCTATTGCAGCCTCCCTATTTCTTTGAAGTGAGGACCTCTGACGCAAGGCCCAGACCCTCACCGGTCGTTGTCCTCATCCAGGGAGACTCTCTCAAAGTGTAGGTGCAGCCGGCGTCCCTCAGCTGCTTCGATGACCCAACGGCAGGTGAGGTTGGGCCCTGCAGCTCCCCCAGGCTCAGGGGACACGATGCGGCCAAGTGTAGCATTGTGGATGGTGCCACCACAGGATGCTGTGGACGGTGCGGGGGGGCAGGTTAAGGTGACTTGTCCTTTTCCCATCTGCAGAGCTATTGCACCCACACCTTTGCCTGGGACCTGGCCTTGGGATGACCTCTGCCCTACAGGCTCACCCCAGGACTTTTTTCAGGCCACTACCAGGTGAGGAACCAGCCTTGGAATAGAAAAACCCTAGGATGGACACCGCCCCCCCCGCAGGATGGCGATTCCATCAAAATGAAGACTCCCCAGATGTGGACACCCTGGGGTGGGGAGTTATGGGGAAGTCCCCCAAACTGAAGCTCTCAGATGGAAAATACTCAGGATAGGATCCCAGGATGAAGACTCTCCAGGATAGACACCCCCAGATATAGACCCCAAGAATGGTTTCCTCTAGGATGAGGAGTCTCCAAAAGCAGGGACCCCCGGAATGGTGACTCCCCAAATGGGAACCCTCCAGGAATTCCCTGTGGTCTATTGGTTAGGACTCTGCGCTTCCACTGCAGGGGGCACAGGTTTGATCCCTGGTCAGGGACCTAAATTCCAACAAGCCATGTGGCACGGCCAAAAAAAAAAAAAAAAAAGGAACCCCCCCCCCCCCGCCGGGTGACCCCCCCCGAGCTGACCCCCCCCCCCCAAGGATTGAGACTCCAAGGATTGAGACCCTCAGGGTGAAGAGCTCCAAATGGAGACCTCAGGATAAGGACTCTTCAGGGTAAAAACCCCTTCAAGATGGGTGTTCCCAAAGATAGAGACCCCCAAGGTAGGACCCTCCAGTGGGGCTCCCAGGACAGAAAACCACACCTATTGTGGTAGGGACTCACCCATGCAGCTGGGGGGTTCACTGCTCCAGGCTGGCCGGGTACCATTGAGGCAGATGAGGGTCTCCTCACCCTGCAGCTGGTAGCCCGAATCACAGTGGAAGGTGGCAGTGCCTCCAGGGTGAAGGTCTGTCACACTCACATCCCCATGGGCTGGCCGGGGAGGGAAGCCGCAGCTCAAGAGGTAGGCTGGATCAGGCAGGGCAGGAGAAAGAGGATTCACTCTCCCAGGCCATCCTCTCTCACTGGTTCCCCAGCATTTCCTCCCCTCTTTCCAGGTCCCCCTCACTCTCCAGGGCACAAACTGGCTCCATACTGGAGTCCTTACGTGGACACACTGTCTCATGAAGAGGTAATGTCAACATCCCTTATCTCCCCTAATCTTTGTAATCTACCCACTTTGGCCCCCATTTTACAGATGAGAAACCTGAGCCTCAAAGAAGTTTTGGACCCTAGCACCCATTTACTGTGTGAACTCAGGCAAATCAATTGACCACTCTGAACCCCATTCAGCTCTAATAATAGCAAATAGTATTTGCAGAGCTTGTTCAGCTTCCAAAATGAGTTCACGCAGTGCTTTTGAGGTAGTCAGAGAAAGGCTGTGACCCACTTTCCAGGGGTGGAAATTGAGGCTCCAAGTTATTAAGTGCCTCAGATCATTTTCTCCCCTCCACACACACAGACTTTCTTCCACTGAGGTGTCACTGTGGTATTATACCCTCAGCTTTCATCCAGAGGAGTCACAAGAAGCTCCTTTAGAAACAGACTATTCTGTCATTAAAGACCTTAATACCCAGTGTCCCCTAAATGAATCCCCCAGTGAAAGGGAAGTGCTAGGGAAAGCTTTGCTTTCCTTAAGGAACTGGTTTGTCTTTTTTCCTGCAATGAGAACTGTGTAATCTCTCTTTTCATACTGGCTGCTAGGAAGCCCAGAACCAGGTTGAGGCTGCCCCTAGTAACAATGGCTTGTCTATCCACATTCTGTTTTTTTCAAATTTAATAAGCATTATCTGGTGCCAATATTTCTCTTATTCTTTTTTTTTTTTTTTTTGGCTGCGCCACACGGTTTGTGGGATTTTAATTCCCCAACCAGGGATCGAACCCCGGCCCTTGGCAGTGAGAGCGTGGAGTCCTAACCACTGGACTGCCAGGGAACTCCCTCTTACTTATTCTATTTAATCTTATTGTTTGCATTCTTTTTTGAAAGCCTCCTGAAATTCTTGCGGAAACATATGAGATAAAACGAACAAATAGAAAGTGACTTGGTAATCAGTGATAGACTCTGAACCTGATCCTGACAGAGCTCTGTGTGTCTGTTTAAGACTAGGCGGAGTTCATTAAGAAGGGCTTCCTGGAGGAAGTACATCGAAGCTGGGTCTTGTACGAGGGGCAGGCTCTGGTTAGCAGAGGGTCCAGCTTGCCTGGGCCTTTGCTTTTTCTGACTCTCCAGTCCTGAGTGATTCTGTAAGAGACCTGGTCTCTCCCTGTTTCAAAATTCAACAAGCATTTCCTTGGCTGGGTCCTAGGGTCAGAGGTGAAAAAGACTGAGGCCTTGCCTTCAGGAGTTCATGGTCTACTAAGATAGACAAAAAAACAGCCTTTTAGAACACAGGGATTTAGGAATTCCCTGGCGGTCCAGTGGTTAGGACTTGGCGATTTCACTGCCGGGCAGGGGTTCAATCCTTGGTCAGGGAACTAAGATCCTGCAAGCCGAGCAGTGGACAAAACAAACAAATAAACAAAAAACAAACCAAAAAACCGCACAGTGATTTGAATAAACTTTAGCCTCTGTGATGGCTCTCCAAGACCAACAGAATCAAGTCTGAATGCTTTAGATTGACATTCAAGCCCCTTCCACAACCAGTTCCAGCCCAGCCCATCCAGCTTCAGTTCTCAGCACCCACGGCCCATATATCTCACACGATACAGTTCTGTGACTCCTTACAGTCCCACTTCCATATTTTTCCACACAATTTCCCCTACCTGAAAGGCTCTCTTCTCACTGTTTCTCACCTTTCAAGGAGTAACTTAAGTACCACCTCCTCCAGGAAGCCTTCCTGACCCCTCCCCTTTCCCACAGAGTTAGTTTTTTTTTTCTTTTTGCCTAAACACAATCCACATGCATAATTTTATCATCACATTAACACCTGCCTATTGCCACTGTGAGACTGAATCCAATGTTTTTTATTTTGTCTCCTAAAAACCTAGCCTAGCTGATCAGTTGATGCCGCCAAGAGGCAACGTGGAACAGTGCAAAGAGCACTGGATTTGGAGATGGGCAGACCTAAGTTCCAGTTCTACTTTCACAACTTATTAGCTGTATGGCCTTGAGCAGGTGACTTCACCTTTCATCTGTAAATGGCAATAACAATTCCTATCATTGAGGATTGGCCTTAAAGAAAAGAAACCTGGAATCAAGCACCTGGAACATAGAAAGTACTCAGAAAATGTTAATCGCCCACCCCTCAGCTTCAATTAATAAATGACCAGGGGTCAGGGACTTGGAGATCTGACTTCTGACTCTGCAATGAATTTGCTGGTGGCTGAGCAATCCATATAAGCTTTGAGGCTTTTTCTTCCTCTTAGAGATGGAGCTGACAATGGCCACCCCCAGGGCTGCTGTGAGAAGCAACCAAAACAAGAGTTGATGAAAGAGTTTTGTAAATGGGAAAGTTTGCTGGACTTGGGGTGAGGGGTGATGGAGCCTTTGACCTTCCAGAGAAGCTAATGAGGCCACTGTGGACTGCAGGGCCCAGCCAGTGCAAATTGGGAAGGGCTTAAACGGGGCCTCCGTCCCAAAGGTGCCTGCAGAAGCCGCAGAGCAGGGAAGACCGAGGCAGGTAATGAAGGCCCATTTATGCAATAGCCCTGCTTCCTCAAATGTTCCAGTTCATCTAAAGAGTCCTATTTTCAATGCCCTAGGGAAGCGGCTGCTTAAAGGAGCCAGCAGGAAGCCATCCTATAATATCTGAAGCCCAGCCCTCAGCCCTGGGCCTTCAAGGCATGCCCTTGCTCCCCAACAACCGGGCCCTGACCACCAACTACATGTCCCTCGGCTCACTGGTCTCTCCAGGTCTGCTGCTGGGCATCTCCACCGTGCATGCCTTACCTCGTGGGGCAAGTCTAGAGCAGAGGCCTCAGGAGAGGCTGGAGAGTGTGTGAGGAAGGGATACGGGTTGTCTGTGTCCTGGATAAAGTCACAAGGGATCTGGTGTCAGCAGAGCTCACAAGCGGGCAGCAAGGCCATGAGGTGAAGTGAAGGGGACACTGGCCCAACACACAGTTCTCTCTCTGTTTCTGAGCAAAGGAAGGGACTTTGGAGATGGCAGCAGTGTCTGGAATGGGACCTTGGGCTGGGCCCCTTGCCTCATGTACACGTGTATGCTAGAATGTACATTGCATCGTGGGAAGGTTTCCATACACACAGGCAAATATGGATGTACACGTGTGTGTAGGCTGTCTGTGGGTGGGTGCTTGCAAATGCAAGCATGCGCAGATACATCCCCTCCTTCCTACCCCCAGAAGTCAGCAGGATCTTTTTAGGTCACAAATCTGAGGCTGTCACTATCTTGCTTAAAACATTTCAAAGTGTCTCCTCCTCCCCTGCAGGTTAAAGTAGTCCAAGGACTCCTCACTGAAGCTGGTAAGGCCCTTTGTCATCCAAATACAACCTACCTCCCAGTCTAGCCTCTTGGCCTACTTCCCCAGCACTTTCTGTGCTTTACTGTAATAGCAATGATTGACATTTTCGAGCCCTCACTGTGTACCAGACACTATTTTAAGCACTTGACGTGTATTGATTCATTTGATCTTCCTAATAATACCACAAAGTAAGTATTATGATCCCCATTTTTCAGATAAGACAATGCGGCACAGAAAGGTTAAGTAACTCACCCCAGGTCACACAGCTAAGACAATTCTATCTTCCATGCTGAATTACCTCAACTCCTCAAGGGGGTCACATTTTTTTCTCCTCTCTGGGTCTTGGAATGTGTTTTTCCATCCATCTAGACATCTGCCTTCCTCTTTCTCTCCCTCCCACCCTTCCCCTAGCTAACTCATCTTAGGTGTCAGCTTAGTCATCACCTCCTCCAAGGAGGTGTCCCCATATTCCTTATAGGGGAAATTTAGGTCCCTTTGATAGTTGTTCTCTCTGACAGTGGTTCCTCCATCATAGGGATGGGGGTCCTTATCTCACTGAATTATAATTATCCTGATTATTTGTCCATCTCCCTACCTAGATTCTGAGTTCCCTTTACATCTGGCTTGTTTATTCTTCTCTCCAAGGATAACACAGGGCCTGTATGAAGTGGGCACTCAATAAACATTTGCTGAGTGAATGGATGAATTGTCACTTGGATGTGTGCACACCCAGGCACAGGTCTGTGAGTGTGTGAGATAAGCGTGTATAGGTCTCCTCCGAGGATTCTGCCCCCCATGGTCCTAGTCAGGAGGAAAAGGCCCCAACATTACCCTGTGCTTAGAAGGCTCCTGAAGATGTTCCCTGTGCCCAGTGCGGCCCCTGCCCTCCCACCAGCACTCCGAACTTCTCACCCTGATAGTGGATCCTGAAGCCACCACCCCTTGGGACCCGTGGGCTCTGGAAGTGCAGGAGCAGCCTGTTGGTTGGACTCCGAAGGACCTGTCCTTCTCCCAGCATGGAGGAATTAGCCAGGAGTCGGGGGGCCAGTCCTGGGGACCCCCCACCAGCCAGCACCAGGAGTTCCTCCTCCCGAGACAGGTTCAGCGTCTGCACCTAAAGAAGCCAGACCCAGACCCGCCAGGGAAGTCAGCCGGGGTGTGTGACCCCCTAAGCTCCCCCGCCCCTTGCCTTCCTTTTCCCTGTATGTAGCAGACCAAGAACCACGGTAACGTTGGCCAAGTTGTAGAACTTTAGGAGAGCCTGTGAGATCCTCAGGAAATAGGTCCATCTGAGTCAGAAAACAAGTTCTCTGGCTCCTAGGCCCAACCCGTGCACACCCCTGGGCCCGGAGGGAAGGGCTGGGAGGTTTCACAATCATATGCTTAAGTCCAGTTACCTGGATCTCAATGCCGTAGCCAGGGTAGACATGGATGCTGTACGTGCAGTCCAGGAGCCCCAAGGTTCGGCTGGCCGCGCTCCCTAAATCTGGAGACTCCACATGCCCTTCACCTTCGGAGATGTTGTTATTACACAGAACTAAAGAGATATAAGTGCTGGGGTTGAGAGAATCTCTGTGTTCTTGCCCTCCCAGCCAAGTAACCCTGGGGGTCCTCATCTGTCTTCTCCCCAGCACCCCTCACCATCTTTATCCAATGCTCACTCTCCCATCTGTGCCCAGAACTCCCTTCCTCAACTGTCATAAGACATAAAACACATAGAACAGTGCTGGCACATAGTAAGGGTGTATCAACGCTAGCCTTTATTATAATTAAGCAGAAGGCCCTCTCCCATCTAGACCCCTTCTTCTTCCACACGTTCCCGGCAGCCTCTCCCCCATCCACACCTTCCTCTTCTCCCACATCCCCTTTCAATCGCCTCACCTGGGCTGGTCACCGTCGTGGTGACAGTTGTCGTGGTGATGATGGTGGTCGTGGTCTCCTCCTCTCCTCCCTCAGGCCCGAGGGGCGGGCCTGGGGAGGCGGGACCGGGAAGGGGCGGGGCCGTAGTTCCTGGGGGCGGGGTCAGCAGCTCCGGCGCGGTGGGGCCTGCCCCCCTGCCCTCCTTAGGGGTTACGGCTGTTGTCAGAGGCCCTGTGCCCGGCTCAGTGGCCCGTGGCAGGGAGGGTGCTGCAAGAGTCTGGCCGGCTGGAGGGGTGGCTAGTGTGGGGTCTGGATCAGATCCTGGGACAGTGCGAGGGAAGTCAGGAAACAGGAGGAGCACATTGATGGGCCTCGGTCGGGGATCAGGGCTAAGAGACACTGCGAGGTCCCCACTGAACCCAAAAGACCTCCCCCACGAGGCGCAGGACCCCCACCTCTCCCTTCCCCACCCAAACTTCCCCCCTCCTCCCAAGGCTTCCACAGCCTGCCCCCCAGCCCCTTCTTTTCTTCTCTCTGTCCAGGCCCTTCCACTCTGACAGTCTCCTTGAGCTTCTCCCTCTGTCTCCCCGTTCAGATCTGGCGCTCTCTCCCGGTTACCCCTTTCTCTTTCCTCTTTTTATTTTGCGCTCTCTAGAACTCTTGGTCTATGTTTAGTATTCTTATCCCTCTCTGATTTTATGATTCTAGGTCTACTACTCTCTGCATTTCTCTCTCTTTTTGTGTTTCTTTTCCACTCTATCTCTGATTCTGGCTCTCTGAGTTTCCATCTGTCTTTCTCTCTGTCTGTTTTTCTGTGCTGTTTCTTGATCATTCTACCTCAATTTCTCTGGCTCTCTGACTGTCTATGTCCAGTTTTGACTCTCTCGAACCATCTCTCTCTGTCTCTCTGAATTTCACTGGCCTGGCTCCCCATCTCCCTGAATTAATGTCCCTCCCTCTGCCTCTATGTTGCTCCTGCCACTCTGGGGGCCTCACCCGGCAGGTAGCCCATTTCTGGGCCTCTCCTCAGCAGGGCTCCATGGAGCAGCTCTGCCAAGGCCTCAGAGGCTACGGTGGGGGTCTCATTTCCAGGCTCCGGCAGTGCCTCCTCCTCCTTCAGGGGCAGACCTGGGAGATGAAGTTGTGCGAGCTCTTCCACTGCCCCACACTCCTTCCTTCTCCAGAAAGATCTTTTCCAGAGCTCTTATTCTCTCCTCAGTCAGCTGGGCCAGCAGGAGCTCAGAGGGTCCCAGACTGGGCTGAGAGCCAAGATTGGAGGAGGGGCTCCCAGCTGCCCATCACACTCCTACCCCTTCCTCTCTCCCTTTTCCCCCAGGCTGTGTGGGCCTTCGGTGAGCACCTCGGACAGAGCCAGCAGGGCAGAGAAGAGGCAGGGCGCTACCTTCATTTTCCCCTCAGTGATGCTCTCCCCCCAACCCCGGGCCTCTGCGGAGGGTCTGGCAGCACCTCCCAGCCATTGCTTCTGCAGTGTCCAGCTTTTTCTCTGGGTTTCTGTCTCTGCAGTGTGGTCCTCCCTCTCTTTCTCTGCAGTCTCTGCCCCCTTCCCTGGAGTCTCGCTGGGGGGTCAGAGTTGGGGATTGAATATCTGGCCTCTGCGCACTGCCTCTGTTCATCTGTCTTTGTCCATACGTCCAAGAACATTTGTGTGTGCTGCGCCTGGCATCTCTCCCGGCACCTCCATCTCCCACCCTGGTACCCGGCCTGCTTCTGCCGCCTCCGCAGACATCCCCCCCACCCCGCCCCGCCACAACGTCCCCAGCCCTTCTTCCTGGATTTAACCCCTGAGACGCTGCTAAAAGCTCCCCTCATTAATTTCCCCAACTCCTCAATATATGGGGTTAGAGGCTCCAGGTGCAAGCTGGAAAGCCCTGGCTTGCCCCTTCTCCGTCAGCTGTGCCCCTCCCCTCCCCCAGGAGCTCAGAAGGCGCAGGATGTTCGGAGAAAGGAAGGTATAGGACCCAGCTGGGGGCCTTCCCGGAGGCCCACCCCCACGCACCCAAGTCCTTACCCTGAATCCAGGGACAGCTCAGCAGAATTAGGAACAGCAGCTGGGGAGGTGGCGGATGCTGGGCCCTGGGAGCCCCCATGGCGACTCACACCAATTTCTCTCCTCTGCGCCTCTCCTAAATAATCTAGCTGTCACCTTTCCTCCGTCTTCTTTTATCTTTCCTATTAATTTTTTTTTTTTTTCCTACTGGCAGTTAGCAAGGGAGACAATGTCTCTGCCTTTGGGACGGAGGGGCAGAACTGGGCTGGGGGTCTCCTGGAGCCCACCCCTCTTTGGCCAGTGTCCTCTGTCCTCTGCTCTCCTGTCTGCGGGAGAGGGGGCGCGGCTCCGGCTGCAGCGGGTGGGGCCAAGAAGGGCGAAGGAGCTGGGTCGCCTGGGTTACCCTCTGGCTCAGGCACCTGGGTCCGCCAGGCTGGCTGGATTCTAAGCTGGGGGAGTGGGTCGAGGCAAAACAGCTTCCGGGGACCTAGGGTGGGGTCGAGGATAGGGAGGGTCCCTACTGTGCTCTAGTGGGGCTTGGCGGGGAGAGGAGGGGGTTGCAAAACCTGGAGAGCCGAGGCTCGGGCACTGGAGCTGCGGGAGGGAGAGCTGAGAAAGGTGTCGAGCCCACGTCAGATCCTGGGGACGGGCGAAGGGAGGGGCTTGGGATTTATTTGGGGGCTGTGGGGGGAGGGAGGAGGAGGAAGTGCAGATGGAAGAAGGAGGGACCACATGAGCCAGGGTCGTAATCCTCACTCCCACGTCCCCTAGGGGAAGCGAAGGCAACTCTGGTCCCAGCAGTAATTATGACCCCTCCCCCAACCATTCCAGCACATTTGGAAACTGAATGTTCTCTTCCCAGGGTGTTGAGGGGCAGCATAGCTGGGTTTGCGCTTGCTCAGCGCCCCCAATATGCCCCCGGCCCTCTTCCAGACCCTTTCAGAGAAGCTCATGTGGAATGCGCTACCTCCTCCTCCAGAAGAATGACAAGTTCCTACGTTTGTGAGAAGTCTAAGGGGTGACAGGCCAGGATCTGGGGAGGGGAGATCCCTCCTCTTACGTACAACATGACCCCAGCCAGCTGCTGGCGCCTTCAACTTTAATTTTTTTCTCCTGGTCTCATCTCGCAAGACCGCTGGAGAGCCCTTTTCAGCACCACCAGAAAGGACAGCTCTTCTCGGCCCCGCCTGAGATGGCCCGGCCCGCGGCGCTGCAGGCGATTGGCTGAAGCCGCCTTCATTATCAATCGGGCTCCCGCCGGGGGTTGGCTCTTGTGAAGGCGATTGGGGGAGTTGGAGTCACAGGCCGACTGGTCGAAGGATCGGCTGACCCACGGACCGGCCGCAGCGTCCCTGTCCGCAGTCTGCGAGCGCCGGTCTTGTCCATCAGTTCGCGCGCTCGCCCCGCCCCTTACTTGCCACGCCCCTCTCAGGCCCCGCCCTTTCGTTTCGCATTGCGGGGCGCTGGAGGTTGGCGCTGTGCCCCCTGAGCCCCACGTGGCGCCCCGTCGGGGCCGGGGGAGGCAAATCCGGAGACGACACCCCCTACCCGGCTGAGTTGCGGTGGCCACTGGGCGAGGGCGGGGGTAGCTAAGCTGAGAGGACTGTGGGGAGGGTGACGTCAGGGTGAGTGGGGGACAAGGAAGGAGCGAGTGGGGGAGGGGGGAGAGAGAGCGAGAGAACCCGTGGGTCGGGTCGAGAGAGAAGCGAGGGCAGGAAGGAGAGAGGGGGAGGAAGGAGAGAGAAGTCGCTGCAGAGGACTGCTGGTTGCGGTTCCCAGGGCTGCGGGTCCAGGTGGGGTAGGAACTGCTGTCCGGGGAAGCTAGAAGGAAAGGCAGAGCGGGGAGGGAAAGAGAGAGCGAAAAGAGGGGCGGGGGGGGGGGGGGGGGGGGGGAGGGAGGAGAGAAGAAAGGAGACGGGGAGACAGAGGGTGGGGAAAGGAGAGACTGACGGGAGAGGCAGGAAACTGGAGAGAGAGGAAACTGCCCTAAGGAGAAAGAAGAGGAGGAAAGAGGTGAAAGAGGAGGAGGAGAGAGTTGGAAGGAGAAAGAAGTAGAGGAGAGAGGAGAGAGAGGCAGAAGGAGAGGAAGGAAAGGAGAGTTAGAGGTGCATGAAGGAAGCGAGAAAGCAGGAGGTACAAGGTGGAGAGAGGACCTCGGAAGGAGAGAGAACCAAGAGTAGGAATGTGGAAGGGAAACAGCCCAGGGTGTAACCAGGGAGCAGCCATGGAAGGAACCGGTGGAGAACTGGGAGGACAAGGGAACTGGGGTCTGGAAGATGCCCCAGGCCTCTTGGCCAGGGCCTCCCTGCCCATCATGCCTGCATGGCCATTGCCTCTGGCCTCATCTGCCCTTACCCTGCTCCTTGGAGCTCTCACTTCCCTCTTCCTCTGGTACTGCTACCGCCTGGGCTCCCAAGATATGCAGGCCCTAGGGGCTGGGAGTCGGGTTGGGGCTGTCAGTGGTAGGCCTCGAGGGTGCTCTGAGGCTGGCAGACCAAGCCCACGGAGCTCTGGGGAGTCTGTGGAAGGACCTAGGACAGAAGGCCTAGTGAGCCGTCGCCTTCGGGCCTACGCCAGGCGCTACTCTTGGGCAGGGATGGGTAGGGTGAGGCGGGCGGCTCAGGGTAGCCCAGGCCCTGGGGGAGGGCCAGGGGTCCTGGGCATTCAGCGCCCAGGCCTGCTTTTCCTGCCAGACCTGCCCTCAGCCCCCTTCGTGCCACGGGATGCCCAGCGGCATGATGTGGAGCTCCTGGAGAGCAGCTTCCCTGCCATTTTGAGGGACTTCGGGGCTGTGAGCTGGGACTTCTCAGGGACTACCCCTCTGCCTCGGGGCTGGTCCCCACCACTGGCCCCTGGGTGCTACCAGCTCCTGCTATACCAAGCAGGCCGGTGCCAACCCAGCAACTGCCGCCGGTGCCCGGGGGCCTATCGGGCACTGAGGGGGCTGCGAAGCTTTATGAGTGCCAACACCTTCGGCAATGCTGGCTTTTCCGTCCTCCTGCCTGGGGCCCGGCTCGAGGGCCGCTGTGGGCCCACCAATGCCCGAGTCAGATGCCACCTGGGTAAGTGGATGCTACTTACAGACAGCCTCCTCGCCTCCACGATTCCCCCTCCAGACTCTCTTCTCTGCCATCATAGCTTTCTACACTGTGACTCTGATCATGCCTTTCTTCTCGGAAATCTTCCTTGACTCCCTGTCGCCCACAGCAGCATTTCCTGAGCTTCAATGATCTGCAAACCATCTTCATAACCTTTTCCATAGTCATTTACCACCTGTACTGTTTCTTCATATTGACTCCCCTCAATGTTTTGTTTTACTTATTTAAAAGGAATCTTTATAGAAAAATGATAATCAGTATTACTTGACCTAAATAGGAATTATTCATAAAAATAAGTTTAAACTTAAAAAAAGAAAGCTTTAAAAATTCTAGCGAAGTATCCTAGTCTGTGGCTGAAGCCTACACTCTCCTCCTTTAAAAAGGAGCAATGTTGGGAATTGCCTGGTGGTCCAGTGATTAGGACTCTGTGCTTTCACTGCTGAGGGCCTGGGTTCGATCCCTGGTCCGGGAACTAAGATCCCACAAGATGCAGGACGTGGCCCCAAAGGAAAAATAAACATAAAAAGGGCAGTGTTAGGGGGGATGTTAAAGTTATGGTAGCACCAAACTGAGATTTTCTTTTCAATGTTTTAGAGAATGAAAGAAAATGGGGAGAAAAAAAGACTTGTCTTCTGATTGTTGTTTAATGCCATGACTTTGTTTTGCCTATAATCATCTCCTGTGCTACCAGTTGAATGTGTTCTACACTTCAGAGCACACTGGCTTTGAAGAGATCTGGAGCAAGGCCAGATCTTTTCTCCTTATCTCCTACCTGTTCCCTTCTTCCCCTTCTCTCCCACCATGCCCTAAATCATGAACGCCTTCTGGCTGATCCTGGCAGATGCCACACACATGCTCTTAACCTAGAATGTCTTTCCCCCTTATCACCTCCTGGAAAACTCCTACGTAGCCTTCACAACTCACACTTTCAAATGCCCACCTCCTCTGGAATGTCTTCCTCTTCCCCATCGTTTAAGTTGGCTCCTCAGTTTTCTGCACCCCAGTGTGTGGTCCTTGGCAGGATGGAGCCATGTTTTATACCTTTTGGGGAGAGAGGGCCTAACACACAGTAGGTTCTTGAGTTAAACTGTCAGAAGCCCAAGAGGAGATGCTGCTTCTTTTAGGAAGCTTTCCCTCTTCTCTGAAACAGAATACATTGTGCTTTGCACTGCATTTTCTGTCTCCTAGCATTTCTTTCATCCAGTACTGTATTGTAATTTTACATGGGTCACCTTCCAGAGAACGAGGAGGGACCACCATAGGACCTAGCATTTAAGACTCTCGGATCTGCTTTTTGACTGAATGGGGTGGCCCCCTTCGATGGAGGCAGGAATGTTGGAGGCCCGGATCTCTTTCTACAGGCCTGAAGATCCCCCCTGGCTGTGAGCTGGTGGTCGGGGGTGAGCCCCAGTGCTGGGCTGAGGGACACTGTCTACTGGTGGACGACTCCTTCCTGCATACAGTGGCTCATAATGGTAATGGGGCTCCCATTCTGCTAGGAGGGATGAGTGACTAAAGAGTTAAGGGGAATAGACTAGAGGCTGCAGAATCGGGCCCAACTGGCTTCCTGTCCTACACCACCATTTTCTAATTGCATGCCCTTGAACAAGTCACATGATTTCTCCAATCACCCGTGAAATAGGGCAACGGCCTTCTTTTACCAAGTGACTGCAAGCATTAAATAAGCTAATGTAAGTGCACAGCAAAGTGGTTCATAGCACGAGACCCTGGGCCTGGACCCCCTGGGTTCCTGTACTACCTCTGGCATTAGCAGTGTGACCTTGGGCAAGTTATTTAACCTCTTTGTGCCTCAGTTACTTTGCATAAAATGAGAACACTTATGGTACTACCTCACAGTTTGTTCTGATGATTAAGAGTTAATACACATAAAGGATTAGAACACTGGCACTTATTTACAAAGTGTTTGCGTTTATGAGTATTTGGTGAGTGCTCTGGCTTGTAAGTACTTAATGTCAGCTGCTCTGCTGTCTCCATCCCCACGTGCCCTAGGCTCTCC